TGAACTCACGTCTCCATCGTGTTAACTCCTTTTCCACAAACTCCACTGCGTGAACACATGAAGTTCAAAGAACTGTCGGTCTGTATCTTTGTCTATGTGTCTCTGTGTGCCCATTTGCCATACTGCTACAACGTCTGGTAAGAGTGCTAAAGACCTCCGCTACGGTTTATGTGTCCGTATCTTTGTCTATGTGTCTCTGTGTGCGCATTTGTCATACTGCTACAACGTCCGGTACGAGTGCTAAAGACCTCCGCTACGGTTTATGTGTCTGTATCTTTGTCCATGTGTCTCTGTGTGTGCATGAGAAGAATACAACTCTGACCACCAACCTAGGGTGCCAGTCCGCAGTCAGCAGACCCCCGCACAAGTTCTAGGATTGCCAAAAAAAACTCTCACAGAAATGCACTGAGCCAAGCAGACTATCTCCCCAACCTCCGCACAACAAGGAGAGAAATTGGCCAAAAATAAACTCTCACAATTACTGAACTGAGCCACAGTTAAGTTTTAAAAAAACGGTGAAATCGGAAAAGAAAAGGGGGAAAAAGAAAAAAGCAACAGGAAAAAACAATAAAACAAGGCATGACTGTGTTTATCGACAGAGAAAAATGATGAGTGAGAATGCCCTACCGCTTCCCTGCACCACATCAGGGATTTAGCATATACATCCACAGCCGTCACTTATCCACAATCATAACTTTATCCAAAATGGTTTAAAGCATACTTGCGGCGCACAGCAGCTGTGCGCGCCCCGCCAGGCCCAGCGCAAGTGCGCGTGCGCGCGCAGTCATGTGCATGTGCGCTGCGCGCGCGCGTGCGGTCGGGCTGGGCCAGGTGCCTGTCTCTTATACACATCTAGATGTGTATAAGAGACAGAGCAATCAACTTATTGAAAGAGGCATTATCAGCACAATTGTCCAACAGACTCTTAAGGATGTACTCAGCAGAACCATCCAACAGACCCAAGGAAATACTCAGCAAGACCATCCAACAGACTTAAGGGGCGCTCAGCGCACCCATCAACA